GGATTCATTCCATAGAGACCCATTGCCACACCTTCACCTGTCTTCTTGGCTTCCTCCTCCAACACCTCTTCATTGCCCTCAGCTTCCTCTTCGGCATTTGCTTTCCTGGTTCGTGCTGCAAACTTACTTCTCATCAACAGTCCTTGAACACTGTATTGCCATGGAACTCCACGGGCTGTGACCAGAAGATTGCCATCAAACTGCTCCGGCAGCCTCCGGATACTTCGGGCCTCCACAGCACCACTTCGAGTGAGCAAGATGTGACTGTCTGACCAGGATGACTTGCCAACCCAGATGCCTCTTCTGTAAACAGGCTCTCCTTTCCACTTGGCCCGCATTGTATCTTTAAAGAGGACCGCCTCTCCAAAGATCACCACCTTCCCATTGTACTTCCGGTCATTCATCACCTCAAAGCTTGTGGCCCCATTGATGACCCTGTATCTTGTCATCAACCATGCCGCATGCCGGAAGCTCCATGGATATATGTGGTGTAGACCTGTGATCTTCACACCTGTTTTCTCTTCAGCAAAACTTCTCAAGGTGTTGGCAAGCTTTCTCACAGATTGTACGGTCTTCTCGGCTTGACCATTGCTTGCATGCTGTCCAGCTCCTGTTGCTCTGATCTCTGTGGCCATGCCTAGTGCAGCTCGAGCATGTTGAACTGCTCTCATCACCTGCTTTGTAGCTGGCTCACCATCTGCTTGCAGGATGATTGGATTGGCATTGGCCACTGACATAGTGAACCTCAACAACTCTTCTGTCACACGGCTGAGAGATGCACTACCTTTTGCAACAACTGACACATCACTGCCTTGGTCTCTGAATCCGCTGCGTACAATGCAGTGCCAAATTGTCGTTCTTCTCCTGCTCCTTCAGTGAACGTGAACCCATAGTCAAATGAGATCACATGTTTTGTATGATGATGTTTTTGATCTCCTCGAGCTTCACTCGGCCTTGCATCTTCTCTTGCTCTGTTCATGACACACTGCATGCACCAATCTTGATAAGGTAGATGGGTGAGAAGATGCAACTCCTGCTCGTGCCTGGTAGGCAGCTTTGGAGTCTTGATCGGGATGGCCTCACGTCGACTTTCAGCATAAAGCCTCTTGGCACTCTCATAGGCAATGCGCTCCTCCTCACGATGCTTATACTTCTGTAGCCGGGCCAACAGCTTTGCCTTGGAACCTGAAGTTGCCAACCCAAGCATGTTGCACTTTTCCTGCACTTTCTTCAAAGTATTTGCCATGGTCACCACTTCTTCATCTATTTGGACCTCTATCTCCTGAGGGTCAGCGAACAGCACCTCCTCTCGAACTTCTGGTTGTTCTCCACTTTCAGCTGCCAATGTAGGGATCTCACCACCTTCACGATCGACCTCCTCATCCTCGGGCCACGAAGATGACTCTCCGTCCAGCAACGGATACTGGCTCACTGGAACTTCACAATCAGGGCCAAAGTAGTCTCGAATCCTGCTCGTTGCAATGAACGTCAAAATCTTTCGCGGTCCTTGAGGCAATGGCTGAAATGGTGCAGGAGAACTTCTGTAGTCAACCAATGACTCAACCTGCTGCCATTGGCTTCCCTTCCGATCTTTGATCAACGTCATCCGGGAGGTCCATTCGTCCCCAAATGCTGACCTGGGATCATGAAAATGCATCGCATTGGGGTTGGAGTGGACCATGATCCCATTTGGTAAAATGTGCCAGCCTGGAACACTCTCTAACATGGCCAGTTCTCTGGAAATGAATCCACGAAGTTCTGGACAAGCTCTTGCTGGTGCAATGACATTGGCTGAAAATGGAATCCAGGGTCTGTTCACAAACTTGGGCTGTCCTTCAACGATCAGTCCTTGGCGCATTTCTCCCACGCCTTGGCTGTCCTCTGGGCTCAATTCAATGGGCTCCTTCTTCACGGGCTGCAGCTTCTTGTTCCACCTGGCCAAACGATTTTGCACTCGTCCATCACTGCTCTCATCATCATGCACCTGCTGAACAGTGTCTTCCGAGGTGTAGCCGGGTGTGACGTCTCCTTTTGACATCTTTTCTGCGTGCTCCACTTCTGGACTCTCAACTTTCTCCTCTCGAGTCTCGTTCTTCCTCTCTTCTCCTGATCCTGCTACTTCTGGGGGCATTTCAATGTCCTTCTCTTCCATGACGACATCTTCGTCCTCCTCTGAACGAATTGCGCACACCTGTACCTCCATCACCAACGAATTCCTCTCGAGTCTCGCCGGGATTTGAAGGCCTCGTTCATGGTGCTCAAGCTGAAGTTCATCTTGATCTCGCGAAAGCACCCATCCTTGTCTCAAAAGGCGGCCAAGAGACAGCAAAGGGTGTGTCACTCCTTGGCCAAGAGCAAATTGCTCAACCAATTCCACACTGCCGACCCATCCTTGGCTGTAGCAATCAGCCGAAGTCGACGATATTCGTTCGCCCTGAGCATCCACCATGTGCGGTGCCACACGTGAACGTCTGCTCCGGAGTCTAACGTCACCACTGCGGTGGGCATTGGGCTCTGTACCATGCAAATCTTCTCATTCTCGACCTTCTCACCTGGGCAGCTGGTCAGGTCAAAAGTACTGCAACCTGTCTTTCCAACTTCAACTTCAATGGGCTCCTCACAGTCGTAGAAGACCTCATCGTCCTCCTCAATCACCTTGATGGCCAACACCTCATAGGCTTCCTGCCAGGTGTCATCGTCAACGTTCTCTTCATCACCTTCCGTGAGGTCGAAGATCTCCAAGGTGCTCAAGCCTGTTGGCGTGACCAGTCTCACGCGTCTCACCTGGCGAACTGCCGTCGAAGATGGCGTGGTCGTAGTTGACGCCAAAGAACCTGAGCTCTTCTCTGAGGTAGTGTCCTCCTCAACACGTTGAACCTTCTTTGACCAACATTCTCTTGCAAAATGTCCCATTTTGCCACAATTGTGACATGGTCCTGAGGGCCCTTTTCCTTTCTTGCCAATCGACTTCCCGACTGGCTTTCCTTTCCCCTTCTTTCCATCTTTGGACCAGGATTGCTTACCTTTTGACCATTTTCCTTTCTGCCCCTTCTTTCCTTTTCCTTTGCCCTTCTTCCCTTCTTTGCCTGACCAAACCGCATCGACCTCCATCGGTGCTGAGGTATCAACATCTGTACCTCCAGGCTTGATTGCAAGCTGAGTTCCAGCTTCCGGGACCTGCTGGTTCATCTCCACACGACTCCTTAGATCATCGAACGTGGTGTCGTCCTGTAGGGCCATCTGCACATGAACTCGAAGGGATTGGGGCAAGGCTGCAACCACTGCTGCAACTTTCAAGTCGTCGGGGTAGGTGACATTTGCTGCTCGTTCATACTCCCTGACCATTGCTTCATACTGGGGTAACTGTTCTGTAATCGTCTTGCTTGCATCAAACTGAACTCGATTCAATGCTTGTACCAGGGCCAATGCACGCTGCCTTGTCTTGGGCTGGAGGTCCTTTGTCAACACTCGCCAACTCTCCAGACCATTCTGTTGTGGGATGCCTCGAATCAACCTCAAAGGCCTGTTCTTCATCAACCCTGACAGCAATGAATACAAGTGTTCTGACAAAATGCGTTCCGGGCCAGTCAACGAGGTCATCTCGATACGTGTATCCAGCTTCTCTGCACGTTTCATCAACAGCAGAAGTGAATCATCAATGGCCCCAACAAATGTCTCAAACTGAAACCGCCAATCACCCCATTTGGTCAGTTCATCTTGCCTTGTGTCTGGCGCGAACAGCTGTGGTGGTTTATAATGCTTTGCAAATGCATTGCTCTTCTGACTCTCAACTAGACCTTGCAAAGCGGTCACCAGGCTCCGGACATTTCCACCGATCTCGCCAGCCGTGGTGCCATCACCACCATCTGAACCAGCTGGAGCCGTGGCCATGAGCGCGACCCCAACCAATCGTATCCACTCGGGGATTTTGAGTGGACCTCACCTATCCCCCAAACTCAAAACCCAAAAGGGATTCCTCTGGAGATGCACGGGGCTGCCGGGCAGAGCTCCGCTACCATGAAAATAAATGAGAAACGAGCGCCCCTTTTTATGCTCACTTTGGGCCTGCAGTGCGCGGTGTATGTACTTGCATGGTGCATACCTAGCCAGTGGTTATCCTAGCACAATTGTTGGACTTCGAGCCCAACCATTCAGAAAAGATGCCTACCTTGACCACAAGGACGTACAGGCCCTACATTTCCTACCTAGCTGCAATGGCTGAGGAGAGCTTGCAGAAGATTTCACAGGCTTTAGAGAGGTTGAGTGTGAGCCAGAGTTCAACAGCATGGTCTCGCCACTTGAAGACCCCTGACACCTTCGAGCCTGACACCAGGGACAACGGATTGAAACAATGGAGCGACTGGAAATTCCTTCAAGAACTATGTGAAGGGCATCGACCCTGGCATGGCGCACAGCATGAGGATGGTGGAGGAGAACCTGAGTGGCAACTACGAGCTTGATGAGATGACGGATGAGACAAAGGCCTCCTCCATTCGCCTGTGCAGCCTGCTCATTTCCTACCTCAGGAACCGTCCCCTGAAGCTGATCAGGCGCAGGAGAACGGCTATGAGGCCTGGCAACGGCTCCTACGAGAGATGCAGCCGGTCACGAGAGCACGATCATTGGCTCTACTGACCCAGCTGTCCCGGGTGCAGTTTGCAGAGGGCAAGTCCATATCGGAGCAATTGCCGCTCTACGAGTCCATCGTGAACGAGTACGAGAGGATCTCAGGGCATGACTATGCTGATGATGCCAAAGTGGCCTCCATCCTCCAAGCTGTACCGGCCCATCTGAGAGCTCATTTGCAGCTTTGGATCACCGATTCAATCACCTACGAGCAGCTGAAGAACAAGGTGATGGAGCTAGAAGCTTTGGCAACAAGGTGGGACAGCTCAAACAGCCTGAGTTTACCCACCAGGCTGGGCATGGACGAAGCAGTTCCCATGGAGGTGGACTACATTCGTGGTGACAAAGGCAAGAAGGGCGGCAAAAGCAAATCAAAGGACAAAGGGAAGTTCAAAGGAAAGGAGAAAGGAAAAGGGAAGTCAGAAGGCAAGGGCTCATGGAAAAGTGGCGACAAAGGGAAGAATGTACGGGAGAAAGGAGGATTTGGCAAGAAAGGAAAGAGTCAAGAGAAGGGAAAAGCAGGAAAGGCCACTGGTGCCTGCCACAATTGCGGGAAGCTTAGACACTATGCAAAGGAGTGCTGGAGCAGCAAGAGAGTGGCACCAGTTGAGGAGACGAGTGGAGGAGCATCCTCGTCAACAGGTCGACAAGGACCGCCTGCAGTGACGACAACATCTGCTGTCAAAACGGTGAGGCTGCAGACTCCACCGGATTCCCACAGCCTCGAGATCTTTGACCTGACTGGAAGTGGCTCAGGCTCAGAGGATGTTGTGCATCCATGGCGTGTGGGCATGGTCAGAACAGCCTACGAAAGTGAGGATGAGCTGGAAAGCTGCAAAAGTGAGTTCGAGGACTGCATTGAGCCCGTGGTGGACATCCCGGAGGGCATTAGCATTGTGGCCATGGACTTGCAAGATGAGGCTGAGGAGAGGCTGGTTCAGATGGTGAGGATGGACCAGAACGACACTGAGGAGTGCCTGGTGACACTTGACAGTGGGGCGGACATCTCTGTCCTGCCCAAGTCCTATGGAAACGTGGGACAATGGGCGCCTGGCGCTGAATCTTTGAAGATGGTGGATGCGCAGGGAAAGCAAATAGCCCATGATGGGGTCACGAGAGCAAGGCTGCGTACAAGAGATGCAAATGGAAAGAATGTGGAAATGGTGGAGGAATTCGTCCTTGGGAATGTGAAACATCCAATCCTATGTGCTGGACGACTTCTTCGAAAAGGTTGGTGCATCGAGAACGAAGGAGGCAGCCTGACCCTGCAGCATAAAGAGAGAAGCGTGGTGGTTCCGATCAGCGATTAACGGAATTCCTTGCAATTTGCCGCAAAGATCTATATGGTGGAGACCATGAAGAAGGAGGAAAAGTAGCAGGGCGAGACTACAGTGGAGGAGAAAGAACCTGCAGTGGGCTCAGAGGATCACTTAGCAGGTATGTGAAGGAGTTGGAGCTGGCACCAGGCTGGCGCAGGCTGGCCCATGGGATTGCAGCCTACAACGACCCAGTGGCAACAACACTCATGGATCCGCGTGGCCAGATAGAAGAGACATGGAGGTCAAGAATGACTTTAGTCAAAGATGGTGATGGTCTTTGGACGCAGCTGGAGAACGTTGAGGACTATGCAGGGCTAGGATCTCAAGCCTATCGAAAGATCGGTGTGGGCGGCCCTCAGAGGACGATCACTTTCTTTGCAGCTTCCAAGATGGAAGACTATTGGGAACAGGATTCAGACGTTCCTGTTTGCCCACTGCCTGAGGAGAAGATGAGGGAATCTCAAGGCAGAACAGATTGGTCAGAAGACGACTATGAGAACGAAGATGAGCTGGAATTGCGGATGGACGCACAGGACATCGAAAAGATGGTGGTTGCAGAGAAGAGAGATGAGGTGGAGCTCGATGAGACGCTCTATACAGGGAAGATGACGGTAAAGGAACTTCAGCTGGCGTGCAAAGAGAGGCAGCTACCGTACAGTGGGAGCAAAAGGAGATTGTTTGATCGTTTGATCGCCTTCAAGGTGAACCTCGAGAACCACATGAAGTTGAGCATCGCCAGCAAGTTGTTTGAAGAGCAAGAGAGAAGGCCTACGGCCTTGGGACAGCCCAGACTTCCATCATTGAAGGAACAGGAAACTCACTTCGTGAGGCACCTGCCTTATGCCCCTTGGTGCCAAGCATGTGTGGCGACAAGAGCCAAAGAAGACAAGTTCGAGCAAAGGGAAGAGAAGGCCGACCTCGGGAAGAACGTCATTCAACTGGACTTCTTCTACACCTATACAGGTGAGGATGTAAGAGGAGATGAAGGACCCGTGGACAAGGTGAAGGAGCGGTCTGACCAGTTCGGGACGTGCTTAGTGATGGCAGCCTCGGAGACGAAGGGAGTTCACGTTGTGCCAGCGCCCACAAAGGGCACTGCGAGCCTCAAAACTGTCACAGAGGAGGTCATCAGATTCTCCCTCGAGAACAGCTGCATGGATCCCGTCGTCTTCCAGGGTGACCCTGAGAGGGCAATTCGACAAACACTCAGGTTTGTGCAACAGGTCCGTGCAGTGATAGGGCTGAGCAGTGAAGCGAGGATGACAGGGACGAACCAACGCTCGTCGAATGGCCAGGCAGAAAGAGCAGTACAGAATGTGAGACGACTGGCGAACTGCCTGAGGAGCTTTGCAGAGACCAGGGCGAGAGTGAATATCTTGGGGAACATGCACGTATACCCTTGGTCTTTCCGCTATGCAGCATTTCTGCTCAACAGATTCCGTGTCCTGGAGAAGGTTGGCGAGACAAGCTATGAATTGGCAACAGGCCATGCATACAGGGGGAAGCTGGCACTCTTTGGGGAGTCCGTGATGTTGAAGAAGCTCACGAAATACAAGGCCAACGACATCTTTGAGCGTGGAGTATGGGTTGGAAAGCATAGCTGGAACGATCATCATGTCGTCTTGACAGCTGCAGGAGCATTTGAGGCAAGAACCATCAGGGCATTCATTGCCAGTGATCTGGTGATTGTCAAAGGCCTGCCATGGGCATACAGCCCACAGGGCATCCTCATGAAGCACGCAGGAGCGGCGCAACGCTACAGGCAGCCTACACTAGAGGCTGAAGCAACAGAAGAGGAGCCAAAGGCAGTACGAGATGCAGTGGCAGCAGGTGTGGTGACGCCGGCGCCAGGCCTTCGAGTACAGCCAACCACACCAGGCCTACCCAGTGGAGCACCTGCGACTCCAGCAGTGATTCCCATGACTCCAAGGGCAAAGAGGAGCCTTGACACAGAGGAGACCGGCCCAGAGGCCAAGAGGCTAGATGACACGACTTCACCGAGGAGGAGCCATGAGAAGAGGATGAGGCACCAGACTCAGGTGACGAGAAGAGGCAGAAGGTGAGTGAGGAGATGATTGCCATGGACAAGAGTGCGACTGAAGAGCCACCTAGAGGAGTGGTGAGAACAGCAGAAGAAGATGAAGAAGTCACAGCAAGTGCCTCGCCAAGCAAACTGTCTCGTTTGTATCCCCCGCACTACGCAGGGATCCAAGCCATCGAGGCACATGGAGACGAAGAGCTTGGGACAGACCTCATCCCGGACGAGATCAATGAAGAGCTGTTTGCTGGCTATGGAGGAGAGGAAGATGAAGATCCCCCAATCACGTCCGAAGAACATCTCCAAGTGCTTGACAGTGAAGCCCGAAAGGTGGAAGTGCAGCGGATGTTGGACATTCCCGCCATGGAGGAGTCTACAAGAGAAGAAGTAGCAGAATGTGGAGGCTACTTCATCTCGACCAAGTTCGTCCAGACATGGAAGCACAGAGTGGAAAGAGGAGGATGGTTCAGAAGAGCGCGACTGGTGGCCAGGCAATTCAAGGCCAGTGTGGACATCGAGCAAACGTTCGCGCCCACGTCGCGCTACCCAAAATGTTGATACACATGATGCTCAACGTCCACAAGGAGTTCTCGGCCATGACGCTCGACGTAAAGGACGCCTTCCTCATGGCAAACCAACCTGAAGAGGAGAGAGCTTTCGTGGAAGTGGAAGGAAAAGTTTACAGGCTGGTGAGATGCCTTCATGGACAGAGGTCAGCGGCATCGCAATGGTTCCAACTCTTTGCATCCACAGCAAAAGAGCATGGCATGGCTCAGGATCTCATGCAACCTACCCTGCTGATGAAAGCCAAGGAGATCTACATCACGGTCCATGTGGATGATGTCTTCATGGTTGGGAAGGAACAGAGCCTGCGAGACTATGTGAAGCACCTGCATGCAGTCGAAAGG